ACTAAACTTCGTGTTGCATATTAGTTTTAGCATTAAACTTTACAATGTTTCCATTCTAACATTAAACTTTAGTTTATAGTTAGTTAGCACATCGAGCCATTAAATTATTAATAATGTGATTACATAGCCGTTTCTTTCTCTATTTGTTTTTTTTTTCTTTGCAAAAAATCATCAACTCTATTTACCGTTGAGACCAATCGTCACCCATCATCAATCTTTATTCACAACAAATCCAATATCAAATTATTCATAATTCACTTATTTTTGTTAGTCTTAAATTGATTTTTCATACAACACACTCAAATTCAATGAAATTCCATTTACATTTTGACATTTCAAAACTCTAATCTCTTTCGACAATTATCTGATAGGGTAATTTCGATATATGTTGTTCAATTTTTTTTAAAAAAACTCTTCTCATCGCTCAAAATTTTAAACAAACACCTTAAACTCTTAAAATATGAGAATCTACAAATCCTTAAAATAATGTATTTTTGTGTTTTGAAAAAATCAAAACTTATTAAAGTGGTAAAAAATAAAATGAGCTCATCTATGTCTAAGATAATCGTTAAAGACACAAGAGAATAACAGTTTTTGATGATAATCGAAAATGGATTAAAAAATTATAATTTTAAAGAAGAATATCAGGTAATTATATATATATATATATATATATATATATATATATTACTTTTACAGCAGCCCATATTAACACTAAACTGTCGTAACATTATACTTCAAATTTAACGACTCATTATTCAGATTAAAACTAAATTAATAAATAAAATTAAAATAATTTAATATAATTTATCCCAGAAAAATCTCAAAAGTAACCGGGAATAGCAGGTGGTAAACCAGTCATCACTCTTCGATAAAATACTGCAAAAGGTTCCCTGCTCTCCACTCATCGGGTCTTTACATGTATCTCTAAATTATACAGTAAAATTCATTTCTCAAAGACCGACTCAATTTTTTTTCTTGGTTTCTCTTCATGGCTTCCATCAGAATTTTCTCGGGAAAATGAAAGAGGAGTAAACTATAAATAATGGAATTGGCAGCAAATGTATCAGCTTTTTTGCTTAAGATAGTGACTGAAACGAAACGACCCAGTTTTGCAAACAAATACTGAACGAACTTTTTCTTTTGAGGTAACAAAAACGCTCTCCCTCGTTTTCCACAATGCAGAACGGAATCTATGTTTTTCGAGGCTAAATTATTTGAATTGATATACAATGTGATCCCTATTTTTTTTCTTTCATTTTAATTTTGAACTTTTAAAGTTTAAACACTTAGCTTTCACTTCTTTTAGAATTAATCACATTTTTTAAAAAAACTTTTGGGTTTTGGTTTTTAGGTTAACGAGTTGGGGTTTGAAGACTTTTGGAGGATAAGGGAAAATGAGAGAGGGCTATGTGGGTTTTTGATATTTTGAATTAGCTGAGATTAGTAGAATTGTAATTTTGAGGTTATAGGGTGAAAAGCCGAGATCTATTTTCTGGGCTTTCAAGGGCTGTTTGATGAATGTGTGTAAAATCCATGCAATTGTTGGTGTTGAAGTTTTTTTTGGAAGTGGTTTGAGCTTTGTGTCAGTAGGTTTTGATCATTTTAAGTGTTGAATAGGCAACGTTGGGGATTGGATCGAAATAAAGAGCTCTTAACTGAGGACTTAGGATTGTTTTGAGATTAGCAAAGCGTGATATCTTGATAATTAGTCTCTTTCTGAGATTTCTTAGTCCATGTCGGGTGCACCAAGATTGAGGTCGATGAATGTGGCTGATTCTGAGGAACGGCGCATACTGGGACTTGTGGGGAACAAGGCGGGTTCATTGAGTGCAAGAAAACCAGCTTCAAAGCCTTTGAGGAAGGTTGAAAAGCCTCTTGTTGAGGTCACTGTAACTGAGGAGAAGAAAGCCCTTCCATCATCTACTGTTAATTCACTTTCTCCCAAAACACATTCTGTTAGTGTTCCTTCAGTGCTTCGTCGCCATGAGCAATTATTACATTCTAATTTATCACTAAATGCTTCCTATTCATCAGATGCTTCCACGGATTCGTTTCACAGTCGAGCTTCTACTGATCTGTTAATTCGATCTAATAGTGTTGGAAGTAGGAGGAAGTCATACACATTAAAGCCGAGAAGCGTTGTTTCTGATGGCGGTTTGGATTTGCCATCTGATGGTTCACATCCAAAAAAGAGATGTGCCTGGGTGACACCAAATACAGGTGTGTTGTCGAGTCTTTACAGTTTCTCAGTGTTTGGTCTTGATTGATTAGAAATTGTGTTAATTTTTCCTTAACTGCTACCAATTGTTGAAATAGCTGCAGAAGCTTTTCTAAGAATTAAGTTAGAGCAAATTCCTCTGCAAATATCTTTTGAATGTCACTATGAGAAGAATTATTTGGTTGGCCACGGCTGCTGGCACTGAATAGGATATGGTTTTTGTGGTTCTTCAATCTGCACTAAGAACAAAGCAATTCTTTGTGTAATTTACTACTTTATGCTTTTCAAGTTCTCCAGTCCTGAATTGCTGTAGTAAGTTTGGTTTGACTATGTCGATATAGTCTGCAATGAAGGTTGTAACTTGATACTTTAAAATTTTAATTATTTAAATCGAGTAATAGGTTAAGTTGCCTTATATTTTATCTTTCTAACTTCATGCACAATCCCTTTACTTAATATTTGTAAGCTTTGCTTGGTTATCACCAAGCACATCATATGGCAGTAATAACATGAATGCAAATTAGTTACACTTTTAGATGTTCAGGCATTATATTCAAAGCGAAGTGACTGTCTATCGAACTATTGCAATCTGTTAGGGATTCATCTTTAAGTCATCCCTAATTTTTGGAAGAACTTCTGTTCCATTTAAGGCATTCCACTGTGGTTCCCTTGATGCTCTGGATTTTCTTATTTCATGTTTCTGGCTGACTTGTTTTTGTTTGTTGTGACCAGATCCAAGTTATGCTGCTTTCCATGATGAAGAATGGGGAGTTCCTGTACATGATGACAAGTACGTGGTGTTAATATTGCTGCATCTGGTTATTGATAAAAATACTTTCCATTTAAAGAGTAGTTTAATACCGTTATCCATGTACAGGAAATTGTTTGAGCTGCTTGTACTATCGGGTGCAGTATCTGATCTTACATGGCCTACTATACTAAGCAAAAGGCAAATATTTAGGTACTGTTCCCACAGAAATTCCATCTTACTTCATTGAATAAGCAGATTCATTGGGGAAGTGTATCTTTATGCAGGGAGATTTTCATGGATTTTGATCCAGTCGCTGTATCAAAGTTGAATGAGAAGAAGTTAATAGCACCTGGTAGCTTGGCAAGTTCTTTGTTATCAGAATTAAAGCTTCGGGATATTATTGAGAATGCACGTCAAGCATCTAAGGTAGTTTCTCATTATTCTTTTCACCAATTTTTCACCTCGGTTGGCTTGAAAAGTAGTGCTTGGCTGCTCACGAAATCACTTCTAAGCAGCATATATAGAGCACACTTCTTCCGTGGTGAAAGCTATAATTTAATGGTTATCTTGCAATATATAACACGCTTCTTCCATCTTCTATACTATTTGGCTTCCTTTAACTACACATTTATCTCCCGATACAGACACCCAATAGGGGACCACTTACATTGTTCTCTCTTGTTTTATCAAGTTGTTAGCCAAATATAGATGTGCTTATGAATCATTATTTGAGGAGGTTAGGTGAAAAGTAGTTGAAAAATGGTCTAAATCCAAGCATTAATTTGAATCATATGGGACAAACCACAAGACTGCAATACCCAACTTGATCATATATATTTATTTTATTTCATGAGGGAACTTAATTATTTATTCCTATCAATTAGATGCAAGCTTGCTTAATAGTTAGTAAATACCTAGTCATTAATATGATTTAATCACTTTCCATCATTAACCACTAGCCCTTGTTACCAATATAAGCACCATAATTGCACTCTTCATAATGGATATGATGAGTGATTATCATTGCAACTAACTTTTGTAGATTTTGATGATGGCAGGTTATAGACGAGTTTGGGTCATTTGATGAATATATTTGGAGTTTTGTGAACCACAAGCCCATAATTAATAATTTCGATACCCTCGCCAAGTTCCCGTTAAAACTCCAAAGGCCGATGTCATAAGAAAAGATCTGGTAAGAAGGGGTTTTCGAAGTGTGGGGCCGACGGTCATCTCGTTCATGCAAGTGGCGGGAATAACAAACGGCCATCTCACAGGTTGTTTCAGATTCCAAGAGTGTATAACAGCAGCAGAAGGAAAAGAAGAAAATGGGATAAAAAATGTCTGAAGAGAAGAAAAACGACAATAATGTGAAATTGACCGAGTCTAAATTATCCATAGCTATTGATGAATTGAGTTTCTCCTCCGAGTGGTGTTGGCTGGTGGCAGATGGTTCTCGTGGTTCGTTCACCCACATTGACTGATTCGCTACTCTTTTGGGTGGTAATGAAGTAGTTTTGTGCATAAAATTTTCATGAATACTTGTGCATCGTGAATTTGTAGATTTCTGAAAAAGTAAATAAAAAATTAACTGGTGAATGTGCTGTTGGTGGGGGGCCTTGTCTGTAATGGAAGTATTATAATTTGATGTACATTTTTTTTTGTATAGTTGAAGAGCTTAGTAATTGGATATCATCTTTTTATATTAGAGAAATAAGATTCGTTGATCCTTCGGTAACTAGATAGGAATTTCGAGTCGAATTCAAGTAGTAAGAAACTCAAGTTCCAACTCTGGACCTGCCACCGTTAGGTTTAGCCGTCCAGCTACTTAGAAGGTTAAACGTTTAATCATCTACTTTCAGCCAATTCCACCAAACTGTAAACGTGACACTCACATTCGCATATATTTATAAGTCACTCGAGTTTAACTAAAAAACAAAGTTGGGTTTGTTTATCAATGACTTCACTCAAGTTCTAACGGCTCAAGTTATTGAACACAAGTCAAGACTCCATTACTTCATACAACTTCCAGATTGATTAATTACTCCGTATAAATGTAAAGCAACATGATCTCCAATTTTCAAGTATCCAACTCTTGTATATAAAATTATAAATTAAAGGGGAGGTGAAAGATATAAGGGTCCAAGACACGTTTAACAAAACATCCTCACACTCCCATGGTGGCATAAGGTGAAAAAACTAAAAGGCTGAAGGTTCAATATCCTTGAGAAGTCCAACAATCTGTTGCATGCTCGGTCGCTTTGTAGGAAGATCAGCCGTACACAGATATGCGATCTTGAGAGCCTCCTCCATTTGGTAGACCGGTGCTGTATCTCGAATTTTAGGATCAATGGCTTTTGGACCTTTATTTTCTCTCAACAATCCTCTAACCCAAGTAACTAAGTTTGCTTCTTGTTCATCAGGATAATCATCTCCGATCGGCTTTTTACCTGTGATTAGCTCAAACAGAACAACACCAAAACAATATACATCTGATTTCGGTGTTGTGGTGTCGGATTCCAGCTGAGAAAACTCTGGTGGTACATATCCAGGTGACCTGCCACCAATTTCATCCTCTAAACCGGTTCCGGAAACTTTGGCCAACCCACAATCTGACAATCTAGGATCCAATTTGAAGTCAAGATAAACACTGCTAGCTTTAATATCATTATGGATTAATGGAGGTGAGCAGCCATGGTGAAGAAATGCCAGCGCTCGTGCAATGCCGAGGGCTATTTTGTGTCGAAATCCCCAGGTTGTTAATTTTGATAGCCCTTCTTCAGACCCAACATTTTGTACCCCGCCGTTGTCTTCTTCACCAAGTGACATGTCATGTAACAAATCCTGCAAGCTGCCATTCTCCATGTAATCATAAATGGCAATCCGTTGATCCCCAGCCAAGCAATATCCAATTAATGGGACAAGATTCGGGTGTTTGATTCGACCAAGATACTCGAGCTCTCTTGCAACTTCGTGGTCTGTCAATGTTGATCCATGAACCAAGACTTTGATAGATACATGGATTCCACCAGGCAGAAATCCTCTATAAGCAGGCCCGAATTTCCCTTCCGATACTAGGGCGCCGATACTGAAATTTGAAGTTGCAGACAAGAGGTCTGCAAATGTGAGATTCAACAATGGTTTCTCAAACATCATTACAGGGACAGATGTTGCCTGTTTAACATCAGCCACCCATGTGGTCGAATCGGTTTGGAAAGAAAAGGTGCCCGACATGTTTTGTTCTTCTTTATATGAAGGTTCCTTAGCTAGCCATATTCTCGATTTCTTTCTGCAATTGAAGGCTATGAATAGCAAAGCAGCAAGCAAGCAGACCATGGTGAGGGTCAAAGCTAAGGCAATGTTAAAAGTGAAAACTCTGTGTATGTCGGCTCTTCTTTTGAAGAGGACAGGATTTGTAGCAATCGGACAACTGTTTAAAGAGCCATAAAAGGCTGTTTCAAAGTTGTCAAGAGAGATCCCAGAGGCACAAAGGGTCAAGTTGTTGTAAGAGAAGTTGTATCTCTTCATCAATTGGAGCTTTTCCAAGACAGAAACCGGAATTTCTCCTCTCAAATCATTGTTCGAGACATCAAGTATTTCGAGGCTTTTGGGAATTAATGATGGGATTCGGCCATGAAGATGGTTTGACGAAACATCAAGTGTTTGTAAACAACTCATCTGTGAAATTTCACTAGGAATATGGCCAATGAGATTGGTTTTAGACAAATTGAGATACTCTAAACTCGACAGGATTCCGGTTTTCGGGAACTTCTGTCTAGAAAATTGATTATATGCAAGATTAAGGTGCCTAAGATTAAGAGCTTGACTCAGATTCATGAAAATTTCACCACTAAGCTGGTTTTCAGACAAGTCTAGATAAACCAAATGAGACCACTTTAATTGTACCTGAGAAATGCGGCCTTGAAACAAGTTCCCTGAAATGTTCAGGCTTGTAAGAGACTTCATTGCTGCAAATTCTGTACTATTGCCATAAATCTCATTCCTGGCAATATTCAAAGTTCTTAGCTTAGGAAACGCTGCAGCAAAACCGTCCGGCAAGGAACCGTTAAGATGATTCGAGGAGAGATCTAGCGAGACCAAAGACCGGCAACTTAGAATACCTGTTGGAATGCTCCCTTCAAATCCATTTCCAGCTAGCTTAAGAGTTTGCAAACTAAGTAGGGAGCTTATAGCTGTTGGCATTTCCCCAGAGAAATTGTTGTCAGAGAGATCAACAACTTCAAGCATTCCGAAGTTACCGATGTTGTTCGGGAGAGAGCCCGAAATCCGATTAGAGGAGAGATTAAGGATCTTGAGTGAGCCTAAGCTCCACAAATCCGAAGGCAAAGCTGTGATTTTGTTATTGCTAAGATCCAAGGATTGAAGCTTATTTAGCTTTCCAATGGTGGAATCAGGCATCAAACCAGTTAGGCCTAAACTAGAAGCCTTTAAAGCAATAACATTCTCCCTCTTGGCATCACATTGTACCCCTTTCCATGAACAAGCAGCAGAAGAAGAGTTGCAGGACATGGAAGAAGAGTTTGAGCTCATCTTCTTCAAGAAATCAGAGACATAGAAATTATCTGTGTTGGGCAGTTGACAGGTAAAATGCTTGAACAAGAGTGACAAAATTAGCAAGGAACTAAAGAAACCAAACCCCATTTCAGCCAAAAAGGTTTAAAGATTCAAATCACCACCAGCAACAAACCACGAAACTAGTTTATAGTCAACATGCAAACACTTGTCCAAATTCTGCAATGTCCATTAAAGCTAGTTATGGATGGCCAGAAAATCCTGTGAGAAATCAACAAAATGAACAAAGCTATTCGGGGGGGGGGGGAATTAAGCTTTGGGTGTCTCTCCAGAGAAAGTGAATCACTTTAAGCTTAGAACTCAATGTAAGTGAATCACTTTTGTTTTAGAACTCAAGAACATGTTTTTAAAAGAGAAAAAACAGAGACAAAGGGACTATTGGGAAGGAAAATATGGCAGTTTGGAACTGTCAGAAACTTTAAGCTTCAAAGAAATATTTCTTACAAACATATTACAAAATATAATTTGGGATGGTGTTATTTATCAAGGATCTTTTAGTGGGTGATTAATCATTGAACTCTTAATAATCTCTTTCTTGCTAATACATAGTACAAACAGTTAGTTGTTACAATTTTTGTATTTATAGATTCAAAAACCTTCAAATTACTGTAAAACAAGAACAATGGAATTAAAACTCAATCAGAAAATTCCTAATACTAAAGAGAAAAAAAAATAATAACTTTTAAGTGCCAGATTTGGGTTATCATGGCAAATTATGAACCTAAATTACTCTACCCAAAACTTGTACAAAAAGATTAATGGAGTCCTCCAAGTGTTTTCTCTCATCATTAAAACATCGGATCGGTGTATACAATTAGGATGATTAAATAAAATAAATCAATGCATTATCTAATCCTATTTATTATACAGTTTCGATTATTAATTTTCGAGCAAATTGTGTATTTCATTATGGTAGTGACCGCCATTATAATCATTACCATTGCTTTTGGATCTTAATCATTTACGATAATCCAAGAATATGAGTTAAAAAAATATATGTAAATTATACTATATATTAAGTTATGTCCATACATTAACGTTTTGCTTTGTCATGCTCATGGCAGCACCAAAGTTGTTCTTCAAACCATGGCTATGTTTACTAAATTTTTAAAGAAACTTGGGACCAATATAAAAATGTTTTATTCATCGATTATTTTTATTGTTATTTTTTATTTTTGATTGAATTTTGTTCAAAATTGAAGGATATGGATAAAGTTGACCCTTTTTTTATAGACAATTTGGGTTTTGTTTACTATTTTTTTAGATTAATTTTGTGTTTTATTAAAAGGTGATTTTTTTATATAAATGATAACAATGTCTTATTTATGTCACAAGATTATTAATTTATATTAGGAAAAATATATGTATGATAAAATATACAACATCATCGATTTTAAATTTCAATATCACTTGTTTCCTTTATGATATATGATTAATATACCTTGTCAGTCTTATTCGACTCTGCCTTTGAAGGGTGAGACATGATACACTCATTCTATTCAACATTTTTATGAAAAAAAGGAAACACAATCATGAAAATAGTGATTTAATGAGTTCGACTTAAAAAGATTGAGTATTTTTTTTCTTCAGGAATGAAAGGTTATAATTCAAAGTAATTGTAAATACAAAAATTCAAACTCGGATTTATTTCATATTTTTAAAACGATCGAATTTAATCCAAAACTAAACCCTAATTTAATTGATGAGAGGAATGATTATTGCCACCCCCATATTAGCACCCAAAATTTTTAAGTATGAATGAAGCAAACTAAAGCTTGAGGCACTTGTAACTAACAATTATGCCAAAGGAATGACAATGCCTGCTAATAATAGTGTAATGTTTCTTTTAACAATCATCAATAGCACTCAATAAAAGACCATCTTTTGTGAACTCAGTTGTTTCAACTCTCCACATTTCAACAAGAATCGGTATTCGACATATATTTGAAAAACGTTAACGAGAGTACGATCTTTCGAATATATGAAAAACTTTCATATATATTCAAGCATTATAAAGTGTTATATATATTCAAGAGCCTAATATTGGCAGTCAAAATCTACAGAAAGTTTTCCAGGAAACTTGCACTATAATACTTTCAAGAATGATTCACCATTCAACTGAATAATACTTTCTGAGACTGGAATAATATTACCTAATTTCACCCGAAAGTGAAGGCTGCTGACAGATGAGGAAGAACCTAAAAGTCAATGGACCCCAAGGTGTTAAAAGAAAGAAAGAAAAAGATCTAAGCATAATCAGGCATTACTCTTTTCAGAAATGTAATCGGAGAAGCTTCCCCGGGTGCAAGTTCATCGAAACCAATGTAATTTTGCTCCTTGTTGTAAACATGGCACACTGTCATTATCGTCTTCATCAAACGCCAAATCCATGTAGCCTCGTTCAGGTACTGTCTCGAACACAAACAAGCAAAGTTAGTTAACACACATCAGAATTGAGAGAGAAATTTCGTCAATGAACATAATGTTGTTCCACTAAAAAGTGTATTATTTGTATTATTTTATTTGGCATACAACTCACTTCCATGTTAAAGAAAAAAATTCGCCAGTAATAACAGTTGATGAACTAAGAAAAATCAAAATACTGTTTTATACCGGTCCCCAATTCTCTTGAATAGACTTATGGGCTGTTCGTAGATTATAACTTGGTATCCTTGAAGAAATATGATGCGGAATGTGGACATTGATATCATGGCAGAGGATCTCAATCCTGTCAAGTATATGAAGTTCGGCATTTTTCCAAGCATCAAGGACATGGAATCGGATAAAAAGACAGCATGTTGATGATGGATCAAATAAATCGACAGAAGAGCAGAAGGGTAATATATTTACCAACGAGGGTAATCTATGATAAATCTACTCTTTGAAATAAAATGTAAAAAGATAGTTGTTGAGGATTTCCTGAATCCTGATTGCCCAGTCGGTTGATTTTGTGGAATGTGCCCGGAGCACCTCAAAGAGGGAGGGCACGGTCGAAGATCGTGCAGGGTGTAGAGCACTTACCGTGACTTATCTTCCGGCACCCCGGACAGCACTGCCGTGGAATGGCCAGTGCCGGGAGGTAAGTAACAGTAAGCGCTCTACGTCCTGCATAATCTACGATCGTGCCCTTCCCCCCGAAGCGCTCCTCGGGACCCACTAAGGGTAGGGATGGCTAAAGAAGTAAGACCTGTTAAAGATGTTTGAACTCATAAAATATAACCAAACGACTATACAAGAAAAGGAAGTGGCATTACCCAAAAGTGATAGCCTAACCATGGCGTTAGCCAAAACTTGATCCATCCCATAATTCCTGTCGAATATATGATCAATGGCCATCCAGTATCCATAAATGCAAACACACAAGCCAAACTGATCTTCACTCTTTTGACTTCATTCGGTCTGAACTTGTTCACGTCAAAGTGCCATATCAACCTATGCATTAAACATGTATCATTTGAGTCAAACAAAGAAGGGGAGAGAGTGGAAGTGAAATGTGCTAACTCGTTAAAGAAAAGTGTGGACACTTGAGTCCAGAAATGAAATAAACCAACTATTTTACATCCATACCAGAGAGCTATGGACATCCAAGACCGAAATGGACCATAACCAAACAAAATTGCCAAAAGAAGTATCTTCTTGTAGCCTACAGATATTAATAAAGAACAAAAAAAATTTAAGTAAAAATTACTGACAAAAGAAGTGTGTGAAAGAGAAAAAGATCTTGAAAGTTGTGGTTGCTGAAATGAAATCCAAAGTAGCTGCCCTAAAGAAACAATATCAAACAACTTGGGTAGAAATTCAAGTGGGATGTAAAAGTGTAACATGACAGGAAGGAGCTATTCACCTAACGTGGAACGTTAAAAGGAAAAAAAATTAACATGCTGCTGATGTGAGTGTTTCTAGATTCTCATGTGTCATTAAGGTATTCTGAGTAATGACGTTGAATACCTTTACTACAAGAGTGATACTAAGAAATAATAATAAACAATAAAATACCGCATGTACATTTTTGTCTTTGCATGATTCCTGTAATGCTTAAACCGCCATGGCTCATTGTTGGGAAATAACCGAGTAATTTTCCTATAACCAGATTACTGAGAATGCGAAATAAAAGCGAAAAAATAATACTCGAAATTGCCCTAAAGAGACTGCTGCAGATCTTTTACTAGAGAAAATTTAAAAGTGTTTACAAAACACTCACTACTCACAAGAGAACTCTCTAAACTCTTTAGTATTGGGAGAGAAATGATTTTTGGGATAATTTTGAAGCTAAATGAATTAGGGTATTTATAGTTGAAGTTAAAAGACTAATCTTGTAAATATCTTAAAATATGCAGGGACTAAATTGCAATTATCCCTTTATAATTTTCAACTAAAATGGATGCCTAATTTGGACCAATTTTAGCCGCCCATGTTGATTCAGTTTTTCAACAATTTACAGCTTCCCATATTCAACAAAATCATGCTTCACTAACCGGCTGCTTTGAATTTTGCTCCACCAACCGGCTGCTTTGAATTTTCAACAATCTCCCACTTGAAGACTGATTTTAATCTGTCTTCACACCTAGATCAATGAAGTAACATTTATGCTCTTGTTACTCTAAATCTGCGTCAGACCTTCTTACTCCCTGAAGTCTGACACTCATCGCATTGAACCCTTCTCATTGGAGTTCTTTGCGCCATCATGCATCGACACTTTCTCATGGCAAAGTCCGATGCCTCTTCTTGCCTCCTTCCTTATAACACGAAGGTTGGAGCGCACTTTCCACCTTTCAAATGAGTAGTTTATCCATGGTTGCCTTGTCCCTTAACATCTTGGCTCCCTTCGAATCTTGTCCACTAGTCTTTGAAGGATTGTTCCTCACTTGAACATCCTCGGCAAGACCTTGCTTCAACCCTTCTCTTAAGATGGTCTCTGAAGCCATGTTCTCTATACAAACATGCTCGGCAAACTCCTTGGACACGGACAACTCTTATTGCACTTGACTTCTACTCGCCTTGGCAGAAATGAACCTTATTGAGCCAACTCTCAACGCCCCCTCGATCCTGGGTTCGTCCTCCTCTCTGGACAAATCGATCCTGGGCTCATCCATCACATAGGATGACTCGGCTCCCCTCGGGTAGTCTTGCAACACTTCTGGCATCTTAAGTTTGCACCCCCTCGTTT